TGGTATGGGTTGAGAAAGAGTTTCTTTTTCTTTTTTTTCACACCTACAGCATCTGGTCTTCCTAGGTGGTCTCCCATTCAAGTACTAACCAGGCTCGACCCTGCTTAGCTTCCAAGATCTGATGAGATCGGGCACGTTCAGGGTGGCATGGCTGTAGACGAGGAAGAGTTTCTTAATGGAAAAATGATTCCATTACCAGAAGAAGAAGGCAGACTAAAATAATAGTTACCTGTAGCATAGACTGCCAATGGTCCCGCAATATCTATTCTTCCCTATCACTTTAAATAAGCACCCCCAATATTTTAGCTGTGTATGTGTACACCCAGAATAAAGGCATATTTCTCAGACTCACTTGCAACCAGGCGGGGCCTTATGATTAAATCTGGCATATGAATTTATGTAGGATTGATGTGGGACAGCTTCTGAAAATCTGAAAAAGTAGCTGTTATGTTCCCTTTACCTCACTTTTCTTCTTAGTTTTTTCCTTCCTTTCTTTTGGAAGGAAGATATGATGTTGGCTCTCTATCTGCCATATTGGACCAAGAAGCAAAGTCCACACCCTAGAGTCCCTGAGGACTGTGTGAAACAGAGCTGCCATACCTTCCCTAAACTGCCTAGTTCCAAACTTTTAGGTGAAAGAAAAATAAATGTCTGCCTTGCTTAAAGCACTGTGTGTGACGCATACACATTACAATCCACCTGAGGGCAATTCAGTGCTTTCGCTTTAATAACTTTGCTTCCTCAAATCTTAATTATGGTCTTAAGTCTATAGAAACAGTGTGATGTATTTATTCATTTAGTCAACAAATTTTGATTATGACCCGTTCTAGTATGCAACAAGGAACTAAACTCTTCAATAACCTAAAAAGCTTACATTTTAGTGGAGCAAGAAGAAATAAAAGGGTAGATATATAATTTATAAATGGTGATACAAACTAAGAAAACTGGAGCATGGTTAAGGAGATGGAGGATATGGGAATATTAGTGTTATTTTTTATAGGGTGATGTAGGGGATAAAATAATATTTGAGGAGTGACCTTAATGAATGGAAGGTGTGCTGGTTAATTTTATGTGTCAGCTTGACTGGGCCACAGGATGCCCAGATGATTGGTGACACATTACGTCTGAGTGTGTCTGTGATGTGCTTCTGGATGAGATAAACATGGTGAGAAGCTGTAGACTGAGTAACACAGATGGCCCTCCCTATTGTGAGTGGGCCTCATCCAGTCCATTGAAGGCTTATGTAGAATAAAAAGGCTGAGTAAGAAAGAATTCTCTCCCACTGCCTGTCTGTCTTGCAGCTGGGACGTCAGTTTCTCTTGACTTCAAACTCAGACCGGAACTTACACGGTCAGCTCTCCTGGGTTTCCAGCTTGTTGACTACAGATTGTGGATTTCTCAGCCTTTAAAACTGCATGAGCCAGTTTCTTAGAGTAAATCTTTTTCTTGGCATGGAAAGGAACAGTGAGAAGGCCAATGAGCTGAGGGCAGTAGTTCTCAGACTTTCTGGTTTTAGGGCTCCTTTGTATGCCTAAAAATTATTGAGGATCCCCAAGAGCTTTAGTTATATCGATTCTATTGAAATTTGTCATGTTAAGAATTAAAACTGAGAAAAATTGATTTGTTTACAGATTACCATAATAAGCACGTGACATGTTAATAAAAGTAATTTTTAGTGAAACATAACTATATTTTCCAACGCAAAAGAACTTAATGAGAAGGGTAACATTGTTTTGCAGTTTTGCAAATCTCTTCCATGTCTGGCTTGCTAGAAGACAGCTGGATTCTCATAGCTGCTTCTGCATCCAATCCATAGCAGTATGTTGTTTCGGTTTTAGTAAAAGAAGAAAATCTGGCCTCACCCAGACACAGAATTGAAAAATGGAAGAGTGTTTTAAGATTAGCCTTTTCAGATATTTCCAGTTATTCTTGTTTGATACTACATCAGAACTCAACAAGTGGTAGTCTTTAAAGGGCAGTTGCAACGTGGAATCAGAAACTATATTTTAAAAGTACTTGTTCTCTGTACAAATGAGCATGAAACAACACTAGAATATTAGAATAACTAGAATATTAGAATAAAAGTAATTTTGACTTCCAGACCTCCGAAAGGGTGTCAGGAACTACACTTTGAGAACGATTTTTTTAAAGTAAGTGAGGAAAGAATGGACGAAGATGTCATCAGAGAGTACATCGACTTGCAGGTTGTGATGAGGACTTGGAAATTTATTCTGAGTAAAATGAGAAGTCATCGGAGGATTTTGAGTGGAGCAGTGAATGGGTCTAACATTTATAAGATTCACTCTCTTTTAGATGATGAGGGACAAGGGTGAAGGAGGGAGGCCAGCCAGGAGAGGGTTGTCATAATCTAGGTGAGAGACAATGGCGGTTTGGACCACAGAGGACATGATGGACGTTGTCTAGCTTGCCAGATAAACAGAGTATCTGGTGTATCCTAGGATCATCATTTGCTAGGTGTATGATCTTAGAAATAATGACTTCTGTAAGCCTCCAAATCCTTATCTACACAGTCACGGGAAGCACTTGGCTCAGGTCCTGGCACAATAAGTGCTTAATAAATGTATCTGTGAATGTTGCACCAACAGCTGGTTTGGTGCAGAGCTAGAAGATTCCCCATCGTCCTGAGGGAGTCTACCACTGGGCTTCTGATCACCGTGTGTGCATGTGCACGTGCGGATGCTGCTTCTAAGACATGAAGAGAAGAGGATTGGAAAAAGGGGAGACCCGGGCAAGGGGATGATTTGGATTAAGGGATGGCATGTGGCAGGACACACACTTTCCTTTAGGCTGATGTTATTTCTCAGGAGCATCTGTTTTGCCTTAAGCACGGGGTCCCTTTAGGGAATGTTTTTAAAGGAAGTTGATCTTTTCCTCAGGTTTCCCCCAGCTCTGCCATGTTGTTTGGCAGAGGCCAGTGGTATTTGGAGTTTTGCACAGGCCTCCTGGGAGCACCAATTTACCAAGAATGAACATGGACTGCTGAATGGCTGTCAGGAGGGAACAATTTTCTGTCCATTCAAATCCAGAACAGATTTGAACTAATGCCCTGGAATTAAAAAGCCATCCTGTTTCTAGTCGAATAGAGAATGACGTTTGTAAATGCAGTTTTAAGCATGTTGCTTGGATGGGTTTTATATTGCAGTATACCCTTCTCCAGAGTGTTAAACACTTTATGAACATCTGTTGGCTGTTTGGGAACAGAATGGTTTCGATTAAATGATATTCACAGTTCTAGGGAAACGTGGTCCCTGACATATCCACGTAGTGTGGGCTTTGGTCTTTAAAAGGACATACTTTCATAGAGTGTCCACTCTGTCCACTCAGGACATTAGTACTTGTAAATTAATCACTAATAAGGAAATAGTTTTTAATGTGCTTCAGGGAGGGAAGCAGCTTAGTGTAAGGCAAGAGGATAGACAATGGCATCAGAAGGACAAATCCAGGTCTTGCTTTCCAGGTGTGTGACATCAACAGCTTACACTCTTCTGAACCCCTCTTCCTTCATCTGTTAGAAGGGCATAATAACATTTCCTGCTCAGG